AGAACAGAATGGTTTGGGTTGGAAGGGACTTTCAAGAATCATCCAGTCCAAACCCACTGCCATGGGCAGGGACATCTTTGACAGTACCAGGTTCTCAAAGCCCTGTCCAACCTCACCTGGAACACTTCCAATGACAGGGTATCCACAACGTCCCCGAGCAATCTGTTCCAGGATGTCACGAACCCTCACTGAAAAAAATTTCTTCCTTATCTTCAACATAAACGTCTTTCAGTTTAAAACCATTGTCCCTTGTCCTGTTGCTATCTGTAACTACAGGTAAAAATGTCTTTGTCCGTCTTTCTTATAAGCCCCCTTTATACAGGGAAAGGCCACAGTAAGGTCTCCCCGGAGCCTTCTCTTCTCCCGGCTGAACAACCCCAACTCTCAGCCTGTCCCCATAGCAGAGGTGCTCCAGCCCTCTGATAGTTTATGTGGCCCTGCTCCGACAGGTTCATATCTTTCCTAAGCTCCAACGCTGGATGCAGTACTCCAGGTGGGGTCTCACCAGAGCGGAGCAGAGGGACAGAATCACCTCCTTCAACCTACTGGCCACACTTCTTTCCATGCAGCCCGGGATACAGTTGGCCTTCTGGGCTGCGAGCTGTTCATCCAGCTGTATCCCCATGTCAGGGGCATTCTGCTGGAATCATTCTCAGCAGGGCTGCTCCCAAACCCTTCATTCCCCAGCCTGTACTCAATGGGGCATTGCCCCGACCCAGGCACAGGACCTTGCACTTGGCATTGTTGAACCTCATTAAATTACTAAATTACTTGGGCTTTTTAGCCCAATTTAAATTACTAAAAAAAAATTAACTGGTTCTTAATGTATTTGTAAAAGCTATTAAACAAGGTAAAAATCTACTTCTCAAAGCAGTGAAACTGTGTGAACTATCAAGAAGCACCATAGGTAATTTGAAAAAAGAAAAAGATTTCTGCTGGTTTCAATTAGAATTATGTATGTATTACTTATAGATAGAGCTACAACACAATTTTGCACACAGAAATATTTTCAAGACCTATCTGTCTCTTTGATTTTGAAAGGTTGTACTGACTATCAAATGATAAAAACAGAGGAAATCCTACACATAATTGCTTCTCTCAGTATTAAAATATTTTTCCAATTGAGTTCTACAATAATTTGAGTTATTTTCATTACCAAATGATGGTAGTAAAGAGAGGGAAAATAATAGAAATAGGTAGTGTATGCCTAAATTATCTAAATCAGGTTAGTTACAGCTTCTCTCCTATACTCCCACAGGATTGGTTTGGAAACTAAAATAAATTATGGACAAATGCATTCATCACATGCAAATCAAATACTGGAAGAGAAGACCACTCATAAATGCTTATTGAACCAACTGAAATTATCACATCTCCATCCTTATCCTGTGTTTCTAATTAACAGAAAAAATGGAACTACCTAAACAATAGCATATGGTGAAAATGAAAAGCAAGAAACAATTCTTCAACCTCATGTTAATTAAATGGAGATGAAATGACTACACTCTTCTATATATGTTCACCTACTCTTTTTATTTCTTTTAATAACTTCTTTTCATGCAGCTTTTTTTTCCCTTTTAAGCCCACTCATTTCTGCTCTTTAAACAGAACAAAGAGAGAGCAAAGGACGTTAGAGGAGATGAAAATGCAGATCAAATAATCACTCACATGCATTAAGCATTCTAAGTCTCACAAATTTTAACTTTGTATTTGCACCTACTGCAACACCATAGCACATACAAAAATGGAAAACAAAGAGCAGATTAGTTGTTGCACTGGCCCCACTACTGAAAGGTTAAGTTAAAGTATGACTCAAATAGCAGCTTCAGAAAGCAAGTACAGATTTAGGTAGAATTTTAAAATATAAAGGCTAAGTATAGCTAGTGCAGCTACAACAAAGAAGTGACAATTTTATTAAACTGCTAAGCAGCCTTTAGTTTCACATTAACAGCAAGTCAAATGCGCATAGTCCTAAATTATGGTCACTTAAACTACCAAAAAAAGAATTTGAGGTTTCTGAACAAATCTTTAAAACAACAAATCTTTAAATTATCAAGTAGAATACTGGACAAAAAAATCAGCATGAAGCAAAACAATTTTATTTTGCTGCAACCTACACAATAGAAAGTATTTTTAATTATACATTACTGATCCTTCTCAAGTAATAGTAATCAAATTGCATGGACTTTTAAACAAAATAAAAAACATTCTGCTGCTTAGTCCACTTTCTCTCTAGTTATTCTTCTTTTCCGTTTTTTACCTAAGAATCACTTTCAGTTGATGAAGTTTCTGACAAAGAACAAGTTTATTGTTCTTTCAGAAAAAAAAATAGTATTTTTTTTCCATAGTGTCAAATCTTTCTGCTATGAATTAAATTGTTTCATTCTAATCTACATTCTCTCAACATTACATTTACCCATGACTAATGTGTCACACCTAACCTAAAAAGGAGAGAACAAAGGCTCCCAAATTCCTTGTAGAGACCGGGCAGTCACATAGCACCCAGGCAAGGAGGGGCTGAAACTCCGGTGGGATTCTGGGTCCTGACCACCTAAGAGCTTGCTCACAAAGCACTAGACAGTTTGACTTTTCCCTGCCAGCCTGTCATTCCCTTGTTGAGTGTATTTGCAGCACAGCACCAAGAGTGTAGCACCCACTAGTGTGAAATAGGTTCAAAGTACACAGCAAGCAACAGATGGCTCTGAGCTTCTGTGGCAGACAGGGTTTCTAGACAAATGTATCCCCCGGCGTGCCCAGAAACCCTGGATAAATGCTCAAACTCCTCAAACAGGGAACAGACCTAAAAAAATGTTATGAATGCTAGTCCTACTAAAATGCATTTTGGCCTTTGGTAAAACACATTTTAAAACTTCACAAGCTACTTTCCTAGAGGAAACATTTGCCAATTAACTGGCACTAGTAACTCAAAAAAACCCCACCCAGAAGTTCCTCTACTGCTAAAATCACTAAACATGATCGATTGTTGTCCTGATTCAGAAATTTTCTGTATGTTTACCTATCGAATTCAGAAGAATTAGCTCATAAATATAGTAAGCACATATTATGGCCAAACACATAGAACCAAAAATACTCTTAAATATCTCAGAAAATAAGATTGATAAATTAATACTGGAAACAGATATTTTTATTTATTAAGCTGCATGTTTCCTAAGAGTAAGACGTTTCCCTGAGGATACTTGAGGTTGCTTGATTAGTTGCACTTTAAACTTGTAGTTTTCTTCAGGATAGGTTACTAAAAAATTTGTTTCTGCCTTTAAGGAAGGTGGTAGTTCTCTGATAACCTCCTGTGACAATCTCTGATAATAATAAACAAATTTTGTAAAAATTTTGAAAGTAAAATGTAAACTGGGCAAAAGAACGTTTCCTCTACATGTAGCATGTGTAATGCAGGCTATGTCCATTGGCAAGTCTATGGCAGTAACAAAACATATTAGATTACAGCTCTTCTTTCTGACTTGAGATCTATATATTCAGCTTTCTAACTGAAAACAATAAAACAATGAAATCTTTCTGTGGTAAGACATTGCTATATATATCTTGCCTCTGAAATATATTCTCTGAATCACTCTTAACTTTGTAAACACACCTTAAGAATAGCTGTTCCTATTCACTGCTAACTGCCAGTGCATCTTTCAGAGATGCATTGAAGCCACATTGTCATCTATTGCAATTAGAACATTACTAATCCACACCCATGAGCTGGGATATCCTTTTTCCAGATTTAAAAAAAACCAAACAAAACAAAAAAGTAGGAATAGCACATCTCCAAAAATAATTGTTTCTAAAATTACTTCTATTTTGCAGGTATCAGATTACCATTTAATGGATAAATACTGCACTCTTTTTCAGTAATTGCAATTACCAACTAAGACATTACACAATACAGCTCTAATAAATTTTAATTATTCAGCTATTACTTTTCTCCTTGGTTTTATTTTCTAAGAACACAGGAGTTCTAGACAGGCACTTCTGATTTAACATTGATCTGACAGTTACAGAAATTATTAAGGACTAGAGTATTTATGAGACTAGTGTAAATCACTAATGCTATAAACTGGCTCTGATTTTTATGCTGTTATTTTCTTGGCAAACAGAGCCGAGAAACCGTGACAGAATGCTGGGACCTTAATCCTCTTTTTCCCCATGGTGCTTAGAATATCTTTCTTGGATTTTCCCAAAGGAATATAGTGAGTTAGGTTTTTTCATATATATATCATCATATATGATGATCTTGCAGAAGTGTCTCAATGTTTATGTCTCGTATTTCACATGTATCATTGTAGCAGGGTATATACCATGACATTGAGAGAAATATTGAGAGAAAATATTCAGAGAAATATTCAGAGAAAACAGGTGGAAATTAATTCCATTCCGTTTCATACAAGTTCAGTTAAGCAGCTCCACGACAGAGTCAAACTGAAGAAGAAACAACAAAAAGGAATGGTAGGAACAGAAATAAGGTACCCAAGAGCGTAATGCCTGATAACCTTCTATATTTTAGAGGAAGCAGTCCATGCAATTAATTTTTTAATATACAGTACTCAAGCTTTTCTCCCTTTATTATCTGAGAAACCAGTAAATTTTTTCTGAAACACACTTTAAATGTAACTTAACTTCTTTGTTAGCCCTGCAAATATCTGTAAATTTCAGACAGGACAGATAGCTTTTTCCCATGATTCATTGTTACTATGAATTATGCTCCTTATAATGCAAATTATTATGGTGAAAAATCATTACTAACTTATATTAATGGCAAGAAAATATACAAATCAAATAATGTAGCATTATTTTTACCCAAATAAACAGAACAGCTTTGAATTAAACAGGCAATAATAATGACCTCCTTTCAGAAAAAGAAAGTGTAGTCTTTTTTTTTTTAAATGTAGCAATCACTCCTGTTGGTAATAGCCATATACATTTAAACAGCTAGCATTTCCAATAATCAAAATTACAATAGTGAAAAATAAAATCTTCCTTACCTATGTATACAATTTTTAGATTCAAGATATGCCATACCAGAAGCAGCATCTAATGAAAATTTCACCAACTGTTTGGTTTTTAGCTCATCCTTCTTTTTTCTTAAAAAGGACAGGAAATCACCTCCTAGAAAAACAGACAGAGGGACAGTGAGACACAACAGATAGGATACCTTTTTGTCACAGATAGGATTCTGTTTCCCACATCGTTCTCCTGGAGAAACTGGCTGCCTGTGGACAGGCGTACTCTGCGCTGGGTAAACAAATGGCTGGAGGGCCGGGACCAAAAGGTTGTGGCGAATGGAGTTAAATCCAGTGGGCAGCCAGTCACAAGTGGTGTTCCCCAGGGCTCAGTACTTGGGCCAGTTCTGTTTAATACCTTTACCAATGACCTGGATGAAGGGATCAAGTGCACCTTCAGTAAGTTTGCAGACGACACCAAGTTGGGTGGGAGTGTTGGTCTGCTTGAGGGTAGGAAGGGTCTACGGGGGGATCTGGACAGGCTGGATTGATAGGCCAAAGACAGGGGTATGGGGTTCAACGAGGTCAAGTGCCAGGTCCAGCACCCAGGTCACAACCACCCCATGAAGTGCTACAGGCTTGGGGCAGAGTGGCTGGAAAGCTGCCTTGAGGAAAAGGACATGGGCGTGTTGATTGACCCTCCAGTATGTCCATGTCTCTCTTGTGCTGGGGAACCCAGCACTGGACACAGTACTCCAGCTGTGGCTTCACCAGTGCTGAGTGGAGGGGAAGGGTCACCTCCCTCGATCTGCTGGCAACACTTCTAATGTAGCCCAGCATAGCGTTAGCCACCTTTGTTGCAAGGGCACATTGTTGGTACATGTTCAGCTTGGTGTCCACCAAGATCTCCAGATCCTTTTCTTTCAAGATGCTTTCCAGATGGGCAACCCTCAGCATGTACTGGTGCCTGGGGTTGTTCCTCCCCAGGTGGAGGACTTTGCACTTCCCCTTGTTGAACTGTGTGAGGTTCCTTCTGACCATTTCTGCAGCCTGTCCAGGTCCCTCTGGATGGCAGCACAACACTCTGGTGTATCAACCCCTCCTCCCAGCATCAGCAAACTTGCTAAAGGCGCACTCTGCCCCATCATCCTGCTCATTAATGAAGATGTGAAACAGTATTGGCCCCAGCATTGGCCCCTGAGGTACATCAGTAGTTCCTGACCTCCAATTCTGTTAATACTCTGATTCCAGTTAAATAGGTGAACAACGTTTTCTGATGCATTCTTTCTTTAGTGACAAATTTCTAGCAATTTTTAAAAAGCAGTGCACGTAACAGCAAAACACAGTCTATTTAAAGCATATAAGGTCTATTTTCAATTTCTAAGACTAACAAAGGGTTTGTGGAATCCACATAATCCAAAACTATGGATCATTTACTTATTTAAAATTAGACTGCCAGAACACATTGTTAAAATGCAAGGATGAAAGCAAAGGTGAGTAACCTTTCTCATTTATAATGCAGCAAATGCTCTCATGTTGGGCCAACAAGAACCCCTCAGATAAGCAAGCAAATATTGCATCCTGAGTTCACCAGTAGTCCTGCTGGCACATACAGAGCTCACAATGCACTGTGGTCCCAGGCTGGGTAACACACAGAGGGAAAATCAAGAGCTGACTGGATGCCCTTTACTCTAAAGCCAATTTAAAATAGCCTTTGTTTTACAAAAGATAGTTACACACATTACATCCCCGAGTCTGACAGGGTGAATCTTGGGATACTGAATTTTAAATTCTAATGAAGTCTTAAAAGAACAGAACACTGTTGCAAACTGGACAGGATAACAATCACCTTTTCTCTAATCTGAGAGTTTACTGACATAGTCTGGTAGCTGGTAAAATGTAAGTATTGGCAGAGAGAAAGATGTTGAACAGTGTATTGCAATATGTGTCATTTCTTACACATGTAAACAGAATTATTCTGGTTACAGCAGACAGTTAACAATAATTTTTAAGCAGTACCCCCCTCCAAAACAAACAAATAAGCTGATGAAAATTATTTTCTTTATATACTGAGAACTCACTGCTCTGTACATAGGAATCATCTTTTAATTAGTAAGTTATAATTATATGTGTTTCCAAATGAGGAAGTCTTCCAATCTTGTCAAATCGTGGCTTTACTTGAATAAGAACAGTAAATCATAGAAAAAACCCATATAAGGCCATCCTAAAAAACCCCTACCCTCAATCAACCAATGTTGCAATGTTGAAGACTGAGAATTTCATACAACTTACTGCAGGAAGAACTGAAAAGACAGACAAGCTGAGTTTGATCCACAAAAAGACAAAAGATGCCTTCTCACACAGCCATACTAAAACTAAATGAATAAGTCCTAAGTAAGTAAGGTCTATTTGTAGAAAGTGTTATAGCAACATCAATGTGATTTAAATTCATATACCCCACAATTAGTATAAATTCTTTGTACAAATAAATTACTGCTCCCTCCAGCCAACAGTAAAAAACCATTCTCAAGAAACAAGCTACTAGAGACAACAAGGTATCAAAAAAGCTAACCACATCCATTAAAATATCTAGAAATAATACATGTTATAAATTTGTTTCTAATATGTGCAGACAATCAGGTTAACATCCTAATTTTCACCATTTTTTCTCTGAACAGGATTAACAACTGCTCAGTTCCTTACATCAGAATATGTAAAGCCCAGCACAAGCCTGTAACTTCCGAGTGCAATCATACCATCAGGAAGTGATTTAGACTTGTTAATTTTCAGTGTTTGGCATGTACTGTATGAACTTCTAGAGTTTTGAGCAAAACTAATACAGTATATCTCAAACTGCATACACTGTGTTTTACACCTATCATCAAAATACACTTTTAATAAAATTACCTTAATCTGTCTCACAGTCTCAATAGTGAAAAAAGTCAGCAAAGGTATGCACATTTTTACTAGCAGTTCTGTTTTCTTCTATCTGTCCTTGCACAGAGACGACAAAAATGTTTTTAAATACTCTATTCAATATTGATTTGAAAGCACTATTAGTTGCAGACAAAATAAAAGAGCAAAGCTTTCTACATCTCATTCTGTACAAAATATACCATTTTAGGTTAAACCTGACTATCGTCATCCTTTTAATATCCACGTAGGCTCAAGTGGCTGTTCCTTAACTAGCAGAATTCTGATTTCTACTGTCTACTGCAGCCAACGCTCCAGCTCATATTTACAGTAAAGTGTCCACATGAAGACCTTCAAAGCTGAGTTAAGAGGCTGTCACTACAAACCTCTCAGCATAGAATTGTGGCTACATAATATCTTTATGTGCTTCTTAAAATAAGTTTAAAAATAAAAAGCACTAATTCACTATTTGCAGCACATAGTGTCAGGACATTATCTCCAATATAATAGCTGTTGATAAAAATTAAATAAACAGACCAATTAGACTATGAAACAACTGAAACAAAGCCGAGGACTATATTGTAGTAAGCAATGCTTTCTCTTATATCTTGAATTCCCATTGTATTCCATACAGCTACCTGTTATACCAGTTAATGGCACAAAACACTACCAGGGTTTGCTCCAACCACTCTTAAGTATTACAGAAATAATTAGACCATTATAGTATTATCACCAACCAGAAACTGACTGCCTGGTTTGGGCTTACAGGAGGATAAGTAACAGTACAGGAGTGTCTGCCTAACACAATAGAATTATTTTACTAAGTAGATGACAAAATGTACTACATAAGCAGAAGCTCCATGAGAGCAGCCTGCTGCAACTGTGTTCCTGAAAAAAGACTTTAATGTATTTCACTGTGAATGTGAACTATTTCTCATTATATGCAGAAATTTTAAGAGAGTGAAAATACCACATATCAGCATATCCTAGTGTTAGCCATACTTTATAGCATAACCTTTATGCTGTACATTAAGTAGTTATTTTATGGTAATATAACAGCTCATTTAATGGCACACACAAAAGTAAGCTAATGTTTTGCAAGAGAAAAAACACCCCTATCTGTGATCTATGTGAAGAAATCAAAATACAAGAAACAGTAATGAAATATGTTAAAACAGTTTCTAAAATATTAAATTATGGCAATCTCTGACTCTAAAGGCATTTAAAATCAACACTGAGTACATACTTCAGTGTTCTCCTGAACTGGTACCTATCTACTTGTCCTAGGCACTCTTGGCATTATTCTGACAACAACTATTGACACGGAACATAATTAAAATATAGTTTTGAAAATTATGGTGGGAAATCTCCCACTTATTTACAACTAGATATATATATATATATATTATTTACATACTATAGCCATATAGTATCACATTTTAATAATGTTATAAACAATTATACAAATATTAATAAATGTGTTACCATAAAATCAATTACTAAGAATTATATAAAATTATATATATTATTATTTACACATTTGTTTTAATAAAGTGGGAGAATTTCCTTTATTAAAGAGCCTTGTTAAGTAGCAGTTTCTTTTAGGAGTCCACTTAATTCTTACATTTTTATACACACTTTAATCATGCAGATGCAGCATGCTTCTGGCCATACCAATTAATGGTTACCTAACACAGAAGGGCTCCATGATTCAATATCTGTAATTGCTTCATATGTTATTATAATTTTATTGAAATTAACTTTACCTGCACTTGTAAGTATTTATAATTTGAGGATTCATATGGTCAGTCTTTTGAATAACATCAAGAAATTTAGAGTTTCTTTACTGAATTGATTGGATTGATTTCTTTATCTTAATTCCACATACAGGATCAATAAAACAAACTCAAACACAGCTACTTAAATCTATGAGTATAAAATAGTAAACATGCATCTGTAGTACTTCTATGAGATAATTTTTTAAAGAAAGTAAGCATCTATTTGACAAACTATTAAAAATGTAAGGGTTTAGAAATGCTGAAGCACTCATTTTCCTTAAAATATTGTGCCTTCACTTTTCAACTAATGGATCATCTGCGTGTAAAGCAATGCTTTCACTTTGTTTTTTTTTGTTTAATTTTACATAACTAGTAACAGAAACTCAAAATAAACCCAAGGTTTTTCAATTGTCTACAGAGTACTATTGTGAAATCCAGTTAAAACTTCATTTTTCCTGTTAAGCACAGCAAATAA